GACAGCTGCTTCGGTGAGTTGCTAGTTGAGTTTTTATTTAGTTATCTGAAAGGTCTTAAAAAGAAAAGGATAGTTTATGAATATCTAAACTATCATATCATGTTAACACGTGTGTATGTGTGAGTGGGGGAGGGCTTCGTGAGGGTTTCAGTGCGTTGCAGTGTGTATGCTTGTCTGTAGTGGTGATTTTATAGTACTAAATTTACATCAGAATAAAGGAAAAAAACAAACAGAACCTGACAACAGGTCTATTGCGAAAGGTAAATGAACTTAAGAATAATTATAGTGATATAGAAGCCGAGACTAAATGTTTATGATTGATTCTGTGGTTCAGGAAAGTGACGTTAACCTTAGAACTGACATCATTAGTGTAACAACTGACGACACTGTTTAGAAACGGGATGTTAACCTTCAATTTATTTGTTTACGTTAGTTGGATAAACATTTATCCATTTGTGTTAGCTAGCTAATATGAACTAACACAAATGATCAATGAAGTCCTCATTAAAGGCGAAGACATTAATACAAAATATAACATTATTATTATGGGAAATGACGTCCTTGTCTGTTAGAAGTTCCGTGATCTGACTCTGCATCTCGACGCTTGTATTTCGCTTCTGCGTCTGCATTCGGACTTGTGTCGGCGACTCACGACTCGCCCCCCCCCCCCCCCCCCCCCCGCATCTGGCACTCACCCGACGAACTCCAGGATGGCGAGCTCCTCCTCCAGCATCTCCCGCTCGTCCTCGGCTTCGGCGGCGGCCAGCTCGCACACCAGCCGCTTGCCGCAGCCGCTCTCGTCCTGCTCGGAGACGACCTCCAGCAGCCGGTTGTGGGCGTCTTCGTCCTCGCCCACATCGCGTTTAAATCTCGGGGAAAATCTACCACCTCCTCGACGCCCACCACGTCCGCGCCCACGTCCACCTCCTCTTCCACGCCCACCACGTCCTCGTCCACGCCCACCTCGTATTCTATCAAGTTCCAGGTTGATCGTGGTGGAGGCGGAGGCAGCGGCCGAGCTCGCACCGCCCGAGCCCGCACTGGCAGCGGAGGCGGAAGCAGAGGCACTGATACTAAGTGATGCCATGGTGACCTCGATAAGAATTTTCAGATTTCAGAAAGGGTGGAAATAGTTGATGATAAGGTGCATCAGTTTCATTGTGAATTAATCAATATGATGAACTAGAATTGATAAATCACGAAGAATTGAAAAAGGGTCTCCATGCCACTGAAGAGAGAGTTCATTATATTTTTTATAACATAGGCAAACACACAGTAGGAAATGATCGAATAATCATTGTAAGCTGCTCATTAAACTTTATTAAGCTCGGAATTAAACACAAATTTATGATGCAAAGTTTCTGTTGTATTCCCTTTAAAAGAAGAATTAAACGTCGAATGTGCATAAATCTACAATCAATTCATAATAGATTTTTCCGTATCCCAAAGAAATAAACTATATTTTCCTTGAGACGGATTCATTCCAGCAACACTCTCTTGCCGAAGGAACTAGGGAATGTAAGTGAAGCGGAAGTCAAGTAGGGGCACTTAAGGAAAAGATCTGGACTGAAGGATTTTCAACAAAAGAACCAAAAAAAAATAATAACAGAAACAAAGGAATTCAATTGAAGAAAAATGAGCGAAGGAACTACAGTATATCTCATTCACTCAAACGAAAGAAAGGAGAGAAGGAACCGTAGTTGGACTTCAGAATTCCCGTCACAGGAATTCAAACAAAGAAACAGAAATGAGAGACTTCAGATGAACTGAGAAGAGGAAGTCAAATGAGGAACCTATACAGTGAACCCTCGTTTTTCGCGGGGGTTACGTTCCAAAAAGAACCCGTGATAGGCGAAATCCGTGAAGTAGTAACCTTTATTTTTTTTTTTTTACAATTATTATACAATGAAATACTCTACAATACATTGAAACCAAAGAACAGAACATTTTTACAGGCCCAAGCACTTGTTTAACAAATAAAAGTAAACTTTTTTGCAAATAACTACTGTGCTGTAAAATAATAATTTTAATCATCAATACGAACTGAAGGCTTCATTTTTTTTTAATTTGGCAAGCTGTTTTACGTACATGTACATATTAAACCGTAACGTTATTTGAACACACAGGTAGAGAAAGAAGCGGCAGAGGACTGTTTAGCCAATCAGAATGCAGAACCCCACAATCCCACCAATGGCAAAATTTCCGTTTGAAGCAGCGAGAAAACTTGAAAAGTGAAAAAACCCGCTTTATAAGGCCGAGNTTTGTAAAGATAATCATTAAGCTATATATTTTTAAATGCTAATGTTTCTTTCCTTTAAACTTATACATTTGTGGTGTGTCTACATGGGAAATAATGCATTCATTTGGAACTGTGATGTCGTGGAAAGGGATTAACGAAATTGTTTACTGCTACCTAGCAACAAGGACGTTTGAAATTGCGGCGAATATGTTGTTTATCTACTTCTCTTTCACTAATGGGTAAAGAAAATGTTTGGTTGTA